GGAAATACATTGGTCTGTGTGCATTGCATGAATATAATGTACAAGTTTCACGTTTTGAATGGAATTACTGAAATATTTTCAACCTTTTGATGATATTCTAATTTACTGGCCAGCACCTGTATTTTATCCCCACAAACAACACAAGCCTGGAGGAGTTCTGCTGTGTGGTAGAGCTGCAAACGCTAACTGTTAGCTTCTACTGGTCAAGATGTTCTCTGCTGTTTCCTGGATGTTAAACCAACAACAGCCTTCCCCATCATGAGTCAAGATGGGTGAGTCCATGAATGTTAAGTGACAGTGTGACATAGATCTGTCAGCTTTTCTAATCCTAGAGTTTCACCATCTATTTTCTACCAGAAGCTAATGCAGAAGATAAGTGTAGGAGACTACTCTCATGTTCAGCCTGCATGAAAAACTCAGAGTGACCAATTAAAATCAGAAATAATAAATAATTGTTTTTCAGTTTATCGCACCTTTAAATTTGTCTGAACAAAAGTAAAAACACTTTACTTCTCCTTGTACACATCTAAGAGTAAGTTAAAGTATACATCTGGCTTTGGTTGCAGAATGATTGTTTAAATAATTCAGGAAGTAGAAAAAATTGGTTCCTAAAAACTAAAAGTTTGAAAAATGTTGAATGAAAGCTTTTCTGACACTCATCTCAGCTGGGGTTTCACAGAAAAAAAAAACTTCTACGTTATCAGATGTATTCGACTGCAGCGACTCGGCGACACGTGTGTGAGAACGGAATCACCCTGGATGGCCCTCACAGCCTTAATGCTTCCAGTTTCCTGCTGTTTATGTGTTTAGAGATGGTTAAAAACATCTCAGCTCAAAGATGAAGGCTTACACGTCAACTATTTTCAGTTTAATGCAAAGAACTTCTAACGGTTATGAAAGACGGGTAAAAATGATCAAGTAAGCATGTAATCTTAATGTTTTGCAACAAAACTGTCACTTTTTGCTTAGTTTGTTTACTTTTGAATGCTTATATCTTGAATTCATCAGATGTTAAATGAACTGTGAATAACTCTGGTGTTTAATGCGGGTTTTCATTTTTAGGTGTTAAGTTACTGTACAGTAAAAAAAAATTAGAAGCAAAAAACAAAGAAACGTGCATGCAGAATACATGAATTGGCTTAAAAATTTGACAAAAAAAGATTTTTAGGATTGAAAATAGATGGTCAGAACTTTAATTGATATACATTTATTCATAAATGTGTAATCATTTATAAAAGGTGTGGTTTACTCATTTATTCTATTAATTTGTAGTGTTCTCTATGGTGTAAATCATGAGTCATAAAAAAAATGTTATGATGCTCCTATTCTTAAATGCAGAAGTTTCCTGGTGGAGAGGAGGGCTGAAAACAGCAGGATTTCTCATTGTCATTACTGATATGCACACATCTCACTTTTGATTGGCTAACAGAACGCGTTCATCCATATTGCAAAGCCACTACCACCAACAAACTCTCCGCGCTTTCTCTTCACTACAAATTTCTTTAAAAGCCTCACTGTGGGCGGGCGCGAGCCAAGATCAGTGAGGTCATGAATGCAAATTCACAGTGTGACATCAAAGCGTGAGGATTTTCAAATCTTAGCATTTCAGAAATCTATTTTCTATCAGAAGCTACCACAGGAGACAGTTGTTCAGCCTGCATGACAAACTCAGAGTGACCGATTATAATCAGAAATAATATTTTAAAATGTTTTTTCAGTCAACCACACCTTTAAAAGAAATCTAGCAGGACAGTGAGTTATCAGATTAAACATAAAAAATGTTGAATAGGCTTTTCGTCCCATGAAAAACCACTGATAAATTAACAAAAGAGGCATATTTAAATATTTTTTACTGATTTAAAAAGAAAATGGGTTTAAATTTTGTTCCTGTTACTGTTTGTAATGTAAAGCTAATATTTTTCCAGCAAATATTTTTCAAGAAATATGCCAGAAAATGTAAACATTTTCTTTTAAAACCACGAAGAATGAGAGATAGCAGGATTCGCCTTTAACACGTCTAACAGAGAGTGAAGCAGTCAGAGAAACACACCTCCGTCTGGTCATTCAGATTCAACGGCAGCATCCACGTGTTTTGTGCTATTTTAGTGCGATCCTAATGGCTTTACAGATTACCAGGCATTTCATCAGAGCCAGAGGGGCTTAACACACACACACACACACACACACACACACACACACACACACACACACACACACACACACACACACACACACACACACACACACACACACACACACACACACACACACACACACACACACACGGTGGTCCAGAGGGAGGCTGAGTGTGTATTAACAGGGTCAGTCAGGGTGATGGTGACACTTGATGAAGGAAAATGAGAAACGTAGGTCTGAATGAAAGACCAGCAGTGTGTTTTTCATATTGTGTGTAGGCAGAATGAAGAAAAAACATGCAGCCAAGTGGTCCTGCTTGGTCATGGGTGGATTTGGAGAGAGGAGAAAAAAATCAAGTTGAGATGTTGTTAAGGAAAACATCTCACCAAAAGAGAAACCTCAGCAGCTCAAACAGCAGCAGACGTGAAGTGAGATGCTACCATTAAAATGTTCATGTTGATGGAGGCACTCTGGAGGAAAAATGCAGCAAAGAGGTCCATTTGTGACTGATTCAGGGGAAAGATAGAAAATAAAAATCACAAAAAGGCAAAGGCAGGAGTGGTTCAGCTGATCCAATCCAACACTGGCCACCGCTAAAGGTGCTCGAGTCCCAGGGACATTTTTATAGTCCTTATAACTATTAAATGCAGTTCCTCTCCTCTATTTGTGTTTCCACGGTGCAGAAACAGAAGCAGATTACAGCGTATAGAGCTGGTTTATGAGGTCTGTTTTTAAGCTCTTTCTAGCATGAGGACAGCGATGTGTGCAGCGGACCCAGACCAAGTACAGCAACGCCGCTACCAGCCTTTAGAACAGTTAAGTACCTGAACAAAGAGGAATTAATAACGGATAAAACTCATCTACCTCGGTCTTGGCACCTGTTGCACCTCCTTAAATAACCAAAACGCTTATTTCGTACATTCAACACTTTTGCAGAAACTTTTGCAAATGGCCGAGTCACATTGGGCGAACAGTCTAGTTGAAAACAAATTGTGACTAAATTTCCTGTCTTAACTTGGGCTCCAACCTCCAAAGATGTCTCACATTTTTGTCGCTCACAAAGCTGTGACTCCTCGACCTTCAGCGTGCGCTGGGACGATTCACTGCTAGTGTGAAGCAGCTGAGATGAGAATCAAATACTCCAAAGCCGCGAATCAAAAAAGTGTGGGACGATCCTTTCACGTCCACACAAGTGGAGGAGATCAAGGGTCTTGGTCTCTTATCCCATTGTGATGGGACAACAGAGGGGAGACTGAAGAACTGGGGGTTTCATCCTTGCTCTGGTCTGTTGTGGTGAAGAGGAAACAGAGTTGGGGGGCAAAGCTTTAATTTACAGATCTATCTACATCTCATAAGATGTGGATCATGACTGAATGAACAAAATCCTGGACACAAAAAGCTGAAAGGTGCTTCTTCCACCATGTGACTGAGCCTGGGAGATAAGGTTAGGAGCTCCGTCATTCAGGGGGAGCTCGGGGATAAGAGACACTGCTCCTCCACGTCGAGGGAAGTCAGCTGAGGTGGCTGTGGCATCTCATTAGGAGATTTCCACTTTGACTCCCTCAGGAGGTTTACCAGGCAAATTCCACAGGGAGCAGGCCCCAGGAAGACCCAGAACTCACTGGAGGGATAACATGTCCTCTGAGAATGAGAACCCCTGTGATGTTGTCGCCCAGTAGGATTGTCCTTAATCTGGATGAAATGCAAAAATACAACCTTCAAAAAAGCCACAAAACCATGAAATTCACATTATAAGTGATTTGTTGGGAAATCAATTTTGGATCTTTTCTCGTCTAAGCTGTAGATTAGTCTATTTAGTCCATATATTTCATAGTTTTAGATCTGAATAAAAACATCACAGGCTGTATTCAAACTCCAATCTGCTTCTACAGCTGCCTTCATAATCAGTTGTTAAAGCAGCCCGTTTCTTCTTATGAAAACATAAAACTCTGGCCTCTAAACCACAAAATAAAGCCTGCATAAAAAAATAAAAACAGGCTGATGATGAAAAATGTGTGTAATGATTTTCTGCTTGAGAAAGTCCGTGTGCACTGTGATTAAATGACAGCTTCATTTTCTGTTTTCCGAGTTTATAGAAAGTGATGCATCACGCAACGCCGTATCTGAAGCGCTCGGGCTAAACAGAAACATTTCTCCACATACAGACGTACAATAAGGCTTTCATGAAGGTTGTAGGAGACTGGGACTCAAACCGCACAGTGTCACACAAGTCTGTGGCTACGGTTACAACTTTCAATGCCTAACACATGTACGGATGTGTTTGACCTGATATGTTTTCAATATGGAGAAAGAGGCAGAGGAAGCCACGGACAGCTTCAATTTTAAAAATTGAATAATACACTGTTTATATTAGGAGTCTGAAAACACAAGTGGTTACTAAGACAAAGCAGCAGCGTGCAGACGTTCCCAAAGCCCCGACTCGTCTTTCTCAGGTTTCATTTCCACTCTCTTTGCTCTTGAACACGACAACGGTTTTGAAAATCAAAACGCTTCAATCGTTTATGAACTATATGAGAATTAACCTTCATGCTCCCCCCCCTCCTCCTCCTGCCAGCAGCTTGAAGCTGAGTTTTCTCTCTGCACGGTAAAATTAAACGTCTGAGCGACGATCGGTTCCGCAGCCAGGCGCTTGTGGACAGGTGACCTGTCGGAGGTAAAATGTCTCAGTAGTGTCAAAGGCCGTGCCAAAAACTGGTCAGGAGAACCTAAACTAAGAGTCCGGTCACTCGTGTCGCCACTTCTGGTGAAAATCAGACACACAGACATGAAATGAGGCGGAGATTTTCTTTTCTCCCTTCTGTTCAGACAAAAAAAAAAAAAAAAAAAACACAAAAAGGTCGTACCTGTTCCTGCGTCATGCTGTGCAGCTGGGTCTGCCAGGAGGTGGAGTCAGAGCGATGGTAGGCCGGAGGCGGGGCAAAGTCCTGCAGTATGATTGGGTCTCGCTCCTGACACAGCGAGGTCAGGTGGCTTATGTACAACTTCAGTTTATTGCGATTCTGACTGAGATCCAGGAGAGGAGAGAGAATCTGAGGGGGAGGGAATAGTTTTTATTAAAAACAAGAAAAGGGAACAAGTAAAATTAAACGGTTTGTCGTAATTACCATCGAGTCTGCGGCTAATTAGCAAATCAGATGTACGTGAAGAAATGAGGAAAATGGAGCATTAAAAAAAACACATTTCAATACAAATTATGGTTCACTGACAAGTATCATCACTGACAGACAATATCGGTATTTCTGAAAATTATATTTTGCAGTAATTAGTGTGAAGAAAACTGCAGAAATAGAGGAATTGGTCAAAAATTAGGTGATTCTGAAGCCTTCATACAACACTGAGGGCTGCATTCCTAATTCTACACTTGCATAAATCTGTAAACCATGAAAAAGCTTTCTGAAGCAGAATGCAGCGTTTATGAATACAAATCCATTCTGTCTGCCAAAGCAGCAGCATACACTTTTGTTTCTTGAAAATAAATTTTATCTAAAGATAGAAGTAAAAATAAAAATCTATAAAAAAACATCAAAGCTGCAGAAGCTAAGTAAATACATTATATCCTTTATTAAGGTAAACAAACAGGATTTTAGGCCTACTTGTTAAACAATTATGACAAAATACATCATAGTTGCAAATCAGGGATTTTTGTTGGCTTTTACTCGGATGAGCAACATGACTCACAGTGTGTGTGTGTGTGTGTGTGTGTGTGTGCGTGCGTGTGTGTGTTTGTTGAGTGACGATGAACACAAAGTGTGGACAGACACTGCTTAGATTAAAAATACCTAGACACACACACACACACACACACACACACACACACACACACACATACACACACACACACACACACACACACACACACACACACACACACACACACACACACACACACCCTATGCACTTAAATCCTGGTATTCCTTGAGGAGTCTGTTTCTTGTCTCTCTCTGTCAGTGCTGCGTGTGTGTGTGTGTGTGTGTGTGTGTGTGTGTGTGTGTGTGTGTGATAGAGAGAGTAAGAGTGTCATGTACGTGTCTAACTGGGAGGTCCTGTCTCTTATGTCTTAAATGCATAATCTTTTTCACCCTTGTTCCCACGCTAAGCAGTCACACACACACACACACACACACACACACACACCCACACACACACACACACACACACACACACACACACACACACACACACACACACACACACACACACACACACACACACACACACACACACACACACACACACACACACACACACACACACACACACACACACAGCTTGGAACTACTGCTGATGTACTCTATGTATACTCTGAACAAGGAAATAATAAATACTATATAAACACAACTTCATGATTAGATCTAGGCAGTTTTTATTTTACCTCTTGAGAAAAAGTTCAAACCCTTTGACAAAATATACATTTGGCTTGTCAGCAACATTATTTTAAATAACATGGATACAGAAAAACAAAACATTTCCATCTGTGTCCATCCATCCATTTTCATCCACCTATCTGGGGTCGGTTCGCAGGGCAGCCTAAGCAGAGAGGCATAGACTTCCCTCTCCCCAGCCACTTGGGCCATAGGTGAGGTTAGGAGCAAAGACTGACCGGTTAATCCAGAGCTTTGGCCTACGGCTCAGCTCTCTCTTCATCACGACAGACCGAAACGCCCGCATCACTGCAGATGCAGCACCAATCCGCCTATCGATCTCGCACTCCAGCTTTCCCTTGCTCGTGAACAAGACCCCGAGATACTTAAACTCCTTCATTTGAGGCAGGACCTCATCCCTGACCCGGACAAGGCATTCTACCCTTTTTCTCAAGACCATGGTCTCAGATTTAGAGGAGCTCATTTTCATTCCGGCTGGTTCCCACTTGGCTGAGACCTGCTCCACTGACAGCCGCAGATCACATTCTGATAAAGCAAACAGGACCACATCATCTGCCTAAAGCAGACTCAATCTTAAGGGCACCAAAACGGATCCCCACAACACCTTGGCTGTGCCTAGAAACCCTGTCCATAAAAGTTATAAACAAAATCATTGATTAAGAACAGCCTTGGCGGAGTCCAGCACCAGAAATGAGTTCGACTTACTGCCGGCATTGACTTCCATTCACTTTTAAGGGTATTTTGTCATTGTGTGGACCAGCCAGATGTCCCCACAATGTTGAAATGTTCACAAACTGCAGGCTATGCCTAAACCTGACCAATGCTGTTCCTTCCTAATCCTAATCTAAACCAAAAGTTAATTCACACCATACCTCTAAAACACTTTTTGGGGCATTTTGTCATTGTGTGGACCAGTCAGATGTCCCCACAAGGTGGGAATGTCCACACAGTACAGGTTAAAAGTTTAAATTTGTCTACTTAAGCATATAAAGATAAGTAGACACACACACACACACACACACACACACACACACACACACACACACACACACACGCGCGCCATGAGTGAGCCGGGCGTACACTGTGCGACTTTTTCACTCGTAGCACTCAGCTTCAGCTCAAAGTGTACGACTTCCTCGCAGAGCAGATCTCACGAGTCATGTGCTCACACTGCACGACCCAGTTCTCAGATGCGACCTGACTGCTCACACTGTACGTCTGGTGGCAACACATCGGCCCTAAAAATATGCTAAAAATAGCAGTTTTTACTCAACACGTCAGACTTTTTTGTCTTGTCTTGCCTGTTGTCCTTCGGGAGTGCTGCAGGAGGACACACAGGGATTTATGGGGGTTGGATGAGGAAAACGAAATAAAGAAAGTAAATCTGTGTTTTGTGATCAGTTTAATTTGACATGAACACGACAAACACGCTTTCTTGACAATCCTTGTGAGTAAAAAAACGTGTAGAAATAAAAACGAACAGCGTGTGTTATTAGGGAAATAGCGAGCGAGCGGCGTTGATGCAGGATTGCACATGTGCCGTGAGCGGTTCTGATACTTTTTGGGTCGCAGCTGCTCGCAGGCCGCTTCAACAGTGCGATACCCTCACGAGGGACGAGCGAAATATTAAACACGCCAGAAGTCCGTGCGAGCTCACGATTGCTGATCGGCAGCTGGTCACGTGGTGTTAATCGCCTCTCGTAACCCCCTGTACACTACACGACCGCTCGGCGCAAAACTCGCCCCGATGTCGTTGATTCTCGCACGACTGCAAAATCGGCTCAAAAAAGTCGCACAGTGTACGCCCGGCTTTAAGTGTGTAGCTGGTTGTTTCTCTCTGTGTCCCTGTGACGGACAAGAGACATGTCCAGAATGTCCTCTGACAGCTGGAGACAGTCGCCAGCTCCCACAGCTCATCGTAACTCCACAGGTTAGTGTGATCATTTTTGAGTTGGTATCTTATATAATTGATTTTCCTGAAACACGGCATTATCTCTATCAGGAGTGCTCAATCCTGGTCCTGGAGGGCCAGTGACCATCATGTTTTAACCCCGCTTCAGCAAACCTGATTTCAATCAGCAGGTGATTAACAGGCGTCTGCAGAGCCTGATGAGCTGCAGCACAGGTGATTCAGCCACTGAATCAAGTGTGGTGGAGCAGAAAAACCACAAAACCTGCTGGATACTGGTCCTCTAGAACCACGATTGGGCACCCCTAATCTATATGAAAGACGCTGCGTTCTGGTCTCAATAAAGTGACACTAAAACTCTGGCTTGTAGTTGTAAAATTTAGAAGATAACATAAGACCTTTCTTACTTGAAGTGCATTTTCTTTGCACATTTTGTGCTATAAAACAATAAAATCTCAGTTGGGACGTGTAAAAAAAATTACTAACAAAATTCACATGTTCCAAGAACGAAAATAAAACTGCATATGCATGTGGGCTTAATGGGGAATGTTCTCCTCTGTAGCAGCTTTGGATCACTAATGAAAGCTGACACAGAACCAAAGTAACTGTCACTTATAATTCTGAGTCTTTGTTTCATTTACAGCTAACACAAAACACGCTAGGTGTGATTTTGTGCTGATCCAGACTGTCTACAAGGGTCACGACATCCAGCTTCCTGCTACGCTCTTACACTAAACCATTGTAATACAGGGTTTGTGTTTAAAACGTCACTTATAAGGCTGCTTATTACACAATTTCCTTGTTGTTGCAGGTTAGCAGCAGCACAGCTGGGGCAGATTTATGATAGGAAAATGTAAGGAGACTGTTCCAAAGAATTGGCTTTAAAATAAACCTAACAGATGCTCAACAGCTGTTATCTCACACTTTCTAATCCATATTATTCTGTCAAACAGCTCGAAAAATAGATTTAAAAAATCCTCGCCGACACTTTCCAGACCCGCAGCAAAGCTCTGAGGATCAAATAGAAAACAAATGAGAAACAGGCAGAAAGAAGGGAATGAATGAAGAGATTTAAGGAAGATATTTGGTGAGAAAAAACATCAAGAGGGCTTTTAAATCTATCAAACAGAGAAATGAGAGCAGGGAGTAATAAAAAGGAAATCTAAACTAACACTCTGACCTCCAAACTTCTTAGCCAAACTTCGAATTTAGCATCTTGTCTTTAATCTCTGCATGCTTTAAAGCAGCTGTGTTTTTGTTGTGCTGAACAACCTTTGTGTGTGTGTGTGTGTGTGTGTGTGTGTGTGTGTGTGTGTGTGTGTGTGTGTGTGTGGTTAATAAGTCTGCAGCACTTCACTGAGTCTTTACTGTATGAAGAAACAATCCCAGAGGAGACATAACTCTAAACAGCAGTGAGTCGGTCGGTGTGCTTGTACGGCTTTATTAGCTTCTCATGTGTCCGTACCAGATTCTTACTGTACTATGAAAGAACTCCAAAGACACTTCCAGCTGCTGACCGGTCTGCAGATAACAACTCAGACCTACTCTTCCTGCATAGAAAGCTTCGAGTTGCAAATTAGCCCAGGAAAAATGTCCTGGTGGAGTCGTAAAAAAGTCCAATCGTGATCTTTGTGCACAGAAGAATATGCTGACTCAAGTGGATGAAACTATTTGGTGTTAAGGAACATTAGATGGCCTAAATGCTTATTCTGAGTCAGGAGACGCAAATAATTCTAACATTTTAAATGCAGGAAATTGGGGTCGCTGTAAAGTCTCAGACACAACAAGTCAGTGACTCGACGCAATCCGCAGAGCTTCCTCAGAAAGAAAACGTAACTAACTGGCATAATGAACTGAACTCAACGCACTGATGAGTAGTTTTAATTGGAATGTTTACTTTGTGAAGTGCCTTGAGACGGCTTTTGTGATTTATTATAAACTTAAATGAAAATATTAAAATTTGTGCCACTAGAAAATTCCAATATTAATTTTGCTGATATAGTTGGTAACTAACACACTTGTGTGTGGGTATGTGCTCAGCATAAATGAGTACACCCCTTTAAAAAGTACAAACTTAGATCACAAAATTTTCAGTTTTACTAAAATTGACTCCATACAGTTTTGAAACCCTTAGTTCCAAAAATGGTGATCTTTGTCTCATCACTCCAGAGTCTAGAGTCCCAGTAGTCTTTCAGCATGGGCCCTAGGTGTGTTATTGTGCGTGGGCTTTAGGAGAGGCTTCCTTCGTGGACGATACCCATGCATGCCATTCCTCTGCAGTGTCCGCCGTATGGTGTCACGGGAAACGGTCACTCTAGTTGGGCTTTCTACTGCTTTAGCTAACTGAAGTGAACTTTCATGGTGATTTTCTTCAACGCTTCTCATCTGAAGACGCTCCTGTTGAGATGTTAACTCCTGTGGACGGCCTGGACGTCTGTTAGATGGTTGCACTTCCATCTTTGTGAAGTTTTTGGATCACTTTGCAGCAGTATTTTGACTTATGTGTAAAGATTTTCTGATCTTCTTGTAGCCCTCACCTTTTTGTGTAAAAACGTATGAAGCATGATTATATTCTTACTTCCTATATTTGCTCATCTCTTATTTTTATCTTTCTTTTTGCACTGCAGCAGTTTCCTAATGTTGTGATTTCTCACACACACGTCAATATAACCCTTCTGATTCTGTCGGGCTTTTCTTTAAAGCCCTTTTATAGTCACCTGTCTGCTGGACACCTGATAAATAAATCATTACACTCACCTGTTAATTTGGATTTTGTTTGGCTTTTCTCTTAAGACTATAACTAGGGTGTACTCATTTTTGCAACATGGGCTTGAATGGATTTGTTAGGAAAATCACTTTTTTGTGTGCAAATTAACAAATCCTGTTTGCAATCAATGGCCCACCTCTGTGGGAGTATTTTGTATCTCATGGAAAATGTTGATTCAAGTATTCATCAGCCTTTGATTGTTTCTTTTGCTGCACCTTCTGCACTGCAACTGCTCAGTCTTTACCTTTGCTTTTCTATTGAACTTCTTACATCTAATTTCATTTGTGTACGGTGTCAGTGAAGCCCTTTGCTGCCAGCAATATTCAAAATTTGGATTTAAAATGACGACTTTTGTTGTCAATGGCAGTGAATGAGTTAATAAATTGTTTTTAGGCGCGTTCATTGCACCTTTGTTCAGTGTTTATGGTGCATGTGTTCATTAAATTAGTGTTTATTAACTAATTCACTGCCAGACGTTCCTGGTCAGCCCTTTGCTGCCAGCAATTTTAAAAATTCGGATTTAAAATGACGACTTTTGTCGTCAATGGCAGTGAATGAGTTAATGTTCTCGCACCTGGAAAGCACATTGAATTGCTTCTGTGTACAAAATATAAATAAAGCTGCCTTGTCTCCCTCTCTGTGCACAGCTGATAGACTGTTGTGATCATAATAACAACAGTAGGATTTATTGCAACCCTAATAAAGAATAACACAACCAGAGCACAATAGCATGTTTTTCTAAATAACAAAATACCATGAAATGTTCCTAACTACGGCTGGTGTGCTTTAAAACTGCTATCCTTTGTTTCTCTGAAGAATATTCTCCAGCCGTGGTGCAGAATCCCCTCACAGAAACACACACACACACACACACACACACACACACACACACACACACACACACACACACACACACACACACACACACACACACACACACACACACACACACACAGTGTTTGGATGAAAAGTGCTACGGCAAAGAAAGAAGAAGAAAGTATCATTTCTATAGCGCCTCTCAAGATAAAAATCACGAGGCACTTCACAAAAACAAAAATTGAAAAAATATTAAAAAAGCATTTAGAAAATGTTTAAAAATATATTTGAAATGAGCAAAAATAGACAATTGGGATTTAAAACTACCCAGCCTCCATGTTGGAACAGAAGGAAATGGAAAGGGGGAGAGAGGTTGTGTGTTCATCTCTTAGCAGGGAGCTGCTAGGTATAATTGAAAAGAGTTGGATCCACTGGGCTTTTAGCATCCTGATGGGAAATCCTTCAGCGCGTGTGGCTCATACGTGAGCCACATTCAGAGTATTTTAATAACGAGCACTTGAAAATTAAGATGCTTTCAGCAAGGTAATCTTTTAGCATAATTCCTGTTTGTCTGTGCACGAATCAAAGCACTTCCCTAAGAAATATGTGTATTTACAAACTGTAAATAATAAACAAAACAGTTGTTCAAATGGATTTGTTCCTAAAGAATAAGTACACATGCAGGTTTTTGTCTTTACCTTGACTTAGCTTCATAAAATGTTCTGGGTAAGCTGGACTAACGTGAGATGAGAAACCTCAAGTGTGAGTGTGAACACTGACTAAGGAATAAAGATAAGGAAGACAAAATTAGAAGTTATTTACGTAAAAATGCACAAAACAAAGAAAGAACAGCTGAATGAAGGAAACGATCAAAGAACGCTGAAACGACATATTCGAATGCCGAACGAATGAAAGCATGATTCAAGATTTAAAAGCATTCCTGCTTGAGTAATGAAGAAGGGAAAAGATAAATCAGAAAAAATGAAGAGTTTCAAGGCAGGAAGATGAATGGGATGAGGGATGAGCAGATGAAAAATGGAGCGAGTGAAGAGACACAAACCAGAACGGGATCACCATTTCATGCACGACAGAAACGCGATAAAGACGGCAAACATGACCGGATCCAGGAAGAGCGCTCACCCTTCTGTACAAAACGGTGGACTGTGGGTGAGAAAGAAGGCATGTGATTGGCTAGGCCCAAATGCCCTCCTCGTCGTCCTATTGGTTAGTTTGGTCCAGCCGTAGCGTGAGTTCGGAAAAAGGAGTGAGTTAGTGTAAGGATATCGTAAGAAAAGCACAAGCTGGGATGAGTTCAAATACTGCTACCCAGGATTATTAAAATAAACTTTATACTTTCTAGAGGATTCTGTCCTGGGCGAGTCTCATACCTGATCTGGGGAGGGCTTGTGATTGTTGGGTAGCTCAGAGTTCGGAGACGCTGCCTTCAGATGGTCGTCCTCATAGTTGTCAGCCATCAGCTTCATCCTATTCTGCGTCTGTGAAGACAAAAGACAACATTTCTACCAAGAAACCCCATAAAAACCTCCTGGAAAATAAGAATGAGTGTCTGTTTCACTGTTATCGGTTTCATTTATCGAGCCCCACTTGTTAGGCGTTTGCATTTGGCACATTCTGAGCTACAGATTTATGTAGAAAACACAAACAGCACGACTGACCGGCCACATGTTCTGCAACTTGATCACGGACGCAGAGGAATAAAAGGGCTTGTTAAGTTGTCACTCAGGGGGAGGTCCATAAAGACTAATATTAGACCATAAACACACACGGACGTGTAAATCACCTCACAGACACTACACACACACACACACACACACACACACACACACACACACACACACACACACACACACACACACACACACACACACACACACACACACACACACACACACACACACACACACACACACACACACAAAAGCAGTCAATTAACACTGCAGAAGAATGTGCTGACTCATTTCACCTCCTCTCTTCTCCTTTCTTTTCACTCTCCCATTATCACTCTGCCATCGTTTCCGATTACTTCCTCTGTTCTCATCCTCATTTCATTGTTCCACGTGTTTCACACGTGTCAGTTTTATTCAGGCTTTACAGACGGCCGGTAAAGAGAGCGAGGCTTAGAGGTAAAAAAGTCGGGGGGAGTGCGAGTCTAAATCTGTTGGTCTTGTACAATCTAAATCCCTTTAGCCTCTCGCTGAGCACTGCAAGGAGCCGCGGCTTAAGGAGACCAGGCGCAGGTTTCATGTGTCTCTCTGTCTGGAAAATCTAAAATAAGTTACATTTTATACATATTTGAATAAAAAGCTGCTATTTTTAAGAGGTGAGACTGGAAACAGAAGAGGATTTCTGTGTCCTGGACTTTCTTCACAGACTTATCTAGTGGAAGTGATCCAGCAAGAGTCAAAATGGAAAAGTGTCCTCAAGAAAGACACAGATAACACACACACACACACACACACACACACCACTAGTGCTCTTAACATGCTTCCTCTGCACTTCGATCCTGGTATGTGTTTTGGTCATGGGAACAGCACGGCTACAGACGTCTTGGTTTTAGATTACAGGAAAACTCACACCAAAGCAGTGTTAACTGTGGTGATGAAATATTCTGGGGGGTTTTCGCGACAAATGAATTTTTGTGGACTAAAGCGAAATAAAAGCTAAAACATATGCTTCAATAAAGACGAAAGGACGACAAATATTGATCGACCTTTTTGCCGACTAACAACGAAAATTGACAGTAAAGAAAATCAAATCAGAAAACGGGAAAGATGGGAGAATGTAAAGAAAGAAAGAAAGAAAATGATCTTTTATAGAGCAAAAACATTTTTTTCAAAAAAGATTAAAAAAATAATAATTAAAAGTATGTTTAAAATAAGAAATAAAAACAGTGATTAAAAAAATGTAAGGAAAGGAAGAGAGAAAATGAACAGGAAAGAAGGAAATCATTGGATCCCAGAAAAGGCAGAATAAAGGCAGAATAAGGAGAGAGTGGTGACGAAGGTCACACCAAAGCCTGAACAGGTCTTTAGCTGCTTTTAAAGGAGACCACTGAGTCCACTGATCTCAGGCTCAGGGGGACAGAGTTCCAGAGTCTGGGAGCCACAGCATCAGATGATCTGTCACCTTTGGTCTTTAGCCTGGTGCTGCACAACTAGTAATGTAAAAAAGAACCATTCAGCAAACAGAACAGGTGGGACTCGACAAGAAAAAACCAATCAGAGTCCGGAGCCGGCCACTGTTTGAACAACCTGACGGTAACAGATGGACAATTTATTTCTAAAAGTAGAAAATGTCCGCGGCTGTGAGGAAAAGCTTTAATGCAACGATATGAAGAGTATTTGGTTGGTGAGTACACATCTGGGGTTACCCCCGGTTTTAAACGTGCTACGGTGGTGGCGGCGAGCCGGAGTAGACTGATGCTGCTGCAGCAGAAACAAACTGACAGAGCAGAGCATCAAGTCATTTAATTGTTTATCTTTCCGTTGTGCTGCTAGGATCGATACTGTCAGCATATGGTGTTACATTTAACTTACCTTCTCACATTTTTAGAGTTACACCTGTTTTCATAGTGTGATGTCATTTCCTGTCATTTTTACAAATATGAATGCATTTTATACAGATTTCGGGGGAAGCAGGTGGTTGAGGTTGGTTGTCCAGTAATCAGAAGTTTGCAGGTGTGTGTGTATGTCTGCTCTGTCTTCTCGATCCCCAGTGGGTCGTGGTGAATGGCTGCTTTTATGGAGCCAGGATCCTCTGGAGGTTTCTTCCTGTTAAAAGGAAGTTTTCCTCTCCACTGTCACTACATGCTTGCTTAGTATGAGGATTACTGTAAAGTCACTGACACTAGTCAGTGACTCGATGCAATGTGCTGGGTTCCTTATATAGGAAACTTTTTCTGATTGGCTTAATGAACTGACCTGAATTGGAATGTTTATTATGTGAAGTGCCTTGAGACGACTCTTGTCGTGATTTGGCGCTATATAAATAAACTTGAATTGAATTGAATAGGTTCAATCCCGGCTTTAGACAGAGAATTCTGCTGTTGTGTCCTTGGGCAAGACACCTAACCCTTACTTGCCTTACTTGTGGTGGTTGGAGGGACTGGTGGTACCTTTGGACAGCTGTGGCTACATCGTCGCTCATCACCATCAGTGTGAATGGATGAATGATACTGTAGTGTAAAGCGCTTGAGGGTCCTCTGACTCTGAAAGGCGCTATACAAGTGTGGGTCATTTATCATTATTCATTTTAAAAAGACACAATTTTCAAACTGTCATTGTGCATTTTGGTATTTTCCATTAATTATTTTTTATTGAACCTATTATAAATGTTGAGTTTTATTGGGTGTGAAAAGTGAATTCTTCATATTGTTTTACAGTTTCACGTAGGTGTAGTTACCATTTCCTTTACACAAGGTGAAAATCACAGCATCCGAAAAAACACACGTATTTTAGTCAACTAAAGTACGACTAAAATTAAAACAAATTGGACAATTAAATTGCGACTAAAATTGAAAACAAAATGTTGTCAAAAGACTAAAACAAAATTGAAATCAACACTGCACCAGTGTTCCTGGGTTCGTGGTCCAACACGTTTTAGGTGTGTTGATATTCAACTATTGATGGAAGGCTGCCTTGCCATGACTCAGCTCCTTGCTAGTGTTTAAAAGATTTCATGTCTTGAATAGATGAATGGCAAATCACTTGTGCAGCCATTAAGGTTTGCAGTTTGGTTAGAAAGTTTCTTAATTAGGTCTATTTTATTTGTAATGTGGTCGCCGACCTTCCCAAAGTCATCTCACATTTCCTGCTCTTTCAGACTTGTGGAAGCTAAATGGGGAAGAACTTCAGTTGGATTCTAGAGACAAGCACATAGGCCTGTTACTAACGCCAGGGGACTGGGAAAAGGTTATAAGGTACTTTAGAAACTTTCTCACAAAAGCTTTTACTCAGCCCAGTGGGATACTGGCTATCGACCAGTTAACATACAGGTTTTCCTCCACAATCTTTAAGTACTTATTCTGTTTCCTGATACGAGTTTTCTTTGAGCATTTTCTTCACTCACTGAATGAATAAAGCTATTAAAGCTCCAAGTTCCTGACTCTAACCCCAGTCTCAGTTGGACCTTGGTGATGGTTTTATGGGCTTCCTTGGTAAAGGTCCATGAGTATTTGCTTAGGGGTCCTAATTCCAGAACATATGAACTAGGTGGTTCTAGGATCCTGGATTAAAAAGACTCATAATATTCTGCAGGAAAAGTTCCACCACTCTGCAGAGAAATTATGGACCTTACAAAGACTTTTAAAATGAAAAGGCCAAAACTTGATTAGTAAAGAAACATACTTTTCTTTAGATAGTTAAATACATGAAGCTTTTAGCATGAATGACTTTATCTTCTTATTTCAGTAAATCTATGTGGAAAAAATGGTAAACTGAAGAAAACTTCAAACTACAAGAAGAGGTTTGAGTTAAAAACCAAACAGAAAAAGTAAAGAGTCCGTCCTTGTTTTAGACTCTGGTCTTTCTTTACATCGTCTCCCATTTCTCTAATTGTCAGGAATGCTGACCTCAGCTCTCTTGCTTCTGTGCCAACTCTCTTTCTCGCTTAATCTAATCATCACGCCATTATTTCTCTCCTCCTCCCTCGTACCTCCCATCCTCTTCATCTCCCCTCCGACCAATTCCCTGACGTATGAGCCCGCCTTAAGCCATCGGTGAAAGGAGTAGGAAACTGCTGACTCATGCGTTAAAGAAAATTATTTCTTTGTGATGAGGCTTTGGGGGAATATTAGATTAGAATATTGTATCATCTTGCTTTTCAGCGGCAAAAGATAAATCCTTTGAAGATATCTGAGCAATTATCAGGAAAAGAGAAAAGTTGCTGAGTCATGGTTGGACGAAAACTATTCCGTCAAGATAAGATATTGTAATATTTCTTCATATTTCTTTATTGAGAAAAGAAAACTGTTAAGTGGAAAATTATAAATGATACGGAGCACTGTGGGGAATTATTTCATTGTAACGAGTCTCTGCAGCGTCATAAACTAGATAAGACACATTTTTCACTTGTCTGTAACCAGAGAGGCTGTGATAATATACAAGTGAGTTTTAGGAGAATAGAGAAAATAGAGAGAGATGTTCGTCTGAGCTAGGACGGCTAACCTACAAATTAATCAGACCTTAGTCAAGCAAAGAAAAGTAGTGAATAACTCAAATATCTTCATATAGTTTAAAGATTTTAGTATTTTAAAGGGTTAAATAAACTGGATATGTTAAATAGGGCAGTTTTTACATCAAAGTAATAATGTTGTTTTCACTATTTCTTCTTTTTTCTTTCATTCGTGCATTTCTGATGATTACTTTAACATTGTTGATCATTTGCAATGAGATAACAAGCAAAATATTTAATATCTTATGGTTTAAATACAAAAATTCAATGTAATTTATAGATTCTTTACAAGAAAACTGGCTAATAATTACAATGACTACATATTACATATAAAACAGATTATTATTGCAGACAAAAGGAAAATAAATCCACAAACACGACCCTGACTTGTAGTTTTAAAACCTTTGATTTGACCTTTTATCCACTTTTGTTCTGATCCCTTTTTTTCTGCTTTCACTAAAACTTGAGAACTTTTTTCCTGTTTTGTTTTTTCCATGAAACTGCTGACAGGCAATAAAACTGGGACTAGAGAGGAAGCTGACGGTAACAGGGGAGCAAAGAGTGAGGAGAGCTGAGATCATCTTGATCTACAGCCGCAGAAAGTCCAAGGTCAAAAACCAATATGGTGGTGGTGCTGTCAAGGTCATCAAAAACACACGTGTGTGTGTGTGTGTGTGTGTGTGTGTGTGTGTGTGTGTGTGTGTGTGTGCATGGTAATTTTCACAAAGAAATGTTGTCTTATAGTTGTGATATCAGAATTATAAATCTATATTTAGATAAATTTAGTCTTCAAGTAATCTTCCTACTGTTTGGTAAACAAAAGCGAATTTATTATGGGTTTTCCAGACTTATTTTTGTTATTGTTGTTTGTTCAATTCTGAAAATAATAGAAAAAAAACCCCACATATAATGAATACACTTTTAGACTTTTGCTTCTCCAGCTGTAACTCACCAAAGGAAGGCGCATCAATTGTATGAAGAATAAATCCATCAAATTCACAAAGTCTTCGCAAAAACACGAGCATCTCGTTTTGCGCTCCAACCCACCAGCACCTCTGGTCTGATGCAGCTTAATATTAAATTGGAGGTATCACGCATGTATTTAAAGGAAATGTAAATTACAAATCCTAGTGATTGTGTTTTGGGTGGAAAACAATGAGAAAAAGAATTTTAAAAATGGTGATTTTGTCAGAAAAGATGTAAATCAGATCCAGTGTCAAGTGTCTATTTCAACCACAAAAGTGTTAGCATCCTGCGGTTTGGCCTGCAGATGACTTGAGAAAACTCAGTCTTGTTCTTTTTGTAACCTTTGTATCAAATTATTTAAATTTTTATATTATTCCTTAAGAATAACTCCAATCAGATGAGTGCAAACTGCTCAAGCCTGCAGTTTAGTGGGTGTGTTTGAGTCGTGTCAGATTGTGAATCTCACACTGAGAAGGAACAGGAAGCATTAGTTGGTCTGCAGTCGAATAAGGACCAGATACAGAGCTTCATAACTCATGACCTCTGATTAGGTGTGAAATTAATGTTGTCTAAAATAAATATTAAGTAGTAAAAAGGAAATAATAGAAATAATAGGGCTTGCTTCCTGCTTTCACTAAATTATTTATGGGATTTTTAGTTTTATTTCACTTCTAATTTCATGACAGTAAGTTAATTGGAAAGGAAAATCCATCCGGTGTGTTTGTTAGCAGCAGACTAACAGAAAAAAGCAGAAAGTATAACGGTCAGCAGGGAGTTTAGACTGGAATCAGACTATAGATGATGCTTTCGTTCTTTTTAAACACAGAAACAGTTTTGTTTACCTGTTTTGTAGCTACAGTTTCGCCGACGGTGCGTCAGCCTGAAGAAGCCGGCAGCCGTCGGCGAAACTGTAGCTACAAAACAGGTAAACAAAACTGTTTCTGTGTTTAAAAAGAACGAAAGCATGGATTTAGAAAGACACAGCAAGAACACACCTAAGATGTTCAAAGACTATAGATGAGATCCACTGATAACCTGAAAATGATGGAAAGATTCAGAAAGAAAGGAAAACATACTTTGTAATGCGCGCTTGCACACACACACACACACACACACACACACACACACACACACACACACACACACACACACACACACACACACACACACACACACACACACGCAGCGCCTCTGTGCTGTCAGTATCTACCACCGAGACACTGAGGTGTCATAAAAGACTTCAAACAGAACAGGGAGAGATGAGACGGTGGGACCAGGAAGGAAGGAAGGAAGGAAGGGAGAGAAAAGTGAAGCTTGTTTTAACGCTTTCATCGGACACAAATACTCCAAAGCCCCTGGCTCTAATCTCCAACGTTACTTCAGACTTTATCTTCCGGTAAAAGAACTCAAGAGGAAATTTCTTCCATCATGTAAAAATGTCATCCATAAACTCAAATGTAACAAAAAAAAGGCAACATTAGTTTGTCTCTGTGCTGCGTCGAGTGAAACAAGTTGGTCGCCTCGTGTGGACAGATGAGACGTACCTAAAAAAGACAGGAAGTAGAAACCAAACTCCCATGATGCTTTCCTCTAAGGCAACCGTTGTTTCACTAAAGCCAGTTTGAGTGGACCTCAGTGTGGAACCACAGAGGCATTTGGTCATGTTTATATCCTTGTTTTTGGTCTGTGTGTGTGTGTGTATGTGTGTGTGTGTGTGTGTGTGTGTGTGTGTGTAGGTGATCCTAAATTTACTTTCTGTGGTTGGAGGGTTGTGGTTTCCTCTGCACTTCCTTGTTTTCTTTGCTCCCCCTCATCCCTGTCTCCTCACCTGAGCTTCCAGAATTTATTCCCACCTTTTTCATCTGGTGCCTCCGTCAAACCAAATCTTTAAGTCTGTGTGCATTCGTTCTCTCCTTTGCCACTAGTCGTCTCTAAACAGTTGGTCTAAATGCTCTGACTGGTCGTTTTACCTGCTGTTTGAGCTGATGCACCAGGCTGTCCTTCTCCCTCTTCAGAGCTGAAACCTCTTCCTGGGTTTTCTTCTTTTTGGACGAGGAGAGCTCCAGCAGGGCGATGTTGGCATCTTTCTCACTTATAGCAGCCAGAAGCGCCTCTTGCCTGAACAGAAGACGATGTTATACGTTAAAGTAAATTTATTCATCTGGAGAATCTGCAGGATTCTGCTTCTTGTAGACACCGCCTATAAAAACTAAGAATTAAACAGGTTTGTTTAACTGTAAGAGGGTCCATAGACTAAAATGTAGTGCGTCTAATATTTCCATTATCATCAGTCGTGGTCAGTTTGGAGCGTTTCATCTGGATGTTTGTTATAATCCGGCAAATTGAGAGTTATGTGAACTCTTTCTGTAGCCGTCACCACTTCAGAAGAGTTTATCTAATACAAATCAGTAGAAGTGTTTCTTCCTTCATCACACATATCCAAGCCGTTTTCATCCTTCTCCCCGGTCTGTATCCCAGCTCCTCGCCTCTATCTGACCCCCCCCCACTTTGATGGGAAGGCTGACAGATGGATAACATTCCTTGCGGTCAGGAAGCAACAAACCACATCCAATTCATCCCATCAGCCTCAGATTGAGCTGAACTGAAACCAGAGTTTGATAATTCTCTGGATCACGCCAATTTCCAGTGGGAATCTAAATCACGAAAGGAATTTTCACAATTCCATAAGACTAGAAGACAGGCCACACACAATTACACTTTAACAGGAAAACACAGGAAGATAATAAATCATTGTTTTGCTCTTCTTCTGTACTTTAGATTCTTCTTGGGTTTTGTCATCTGCACGACCTTCGGGAAAGAGTTAGATTGAAAAAAAAATTAACGTTTTCAAATATAAAATGTGCAAAGAAGAGAACTTCGTTATAATAAAGTCATCACATCAGGTGAAGGCTGGGTGTTTCAAGATGTAAGCCAAGCTGATTATCAGGGGACGCCTTCACTAATTAAACTTGTGATTTCTTCTCCTCCTCCCTGTTGGGTCACAGACACAGCAGCAGAGCCAAGGATGAGAAGGTTTAAACGGAGACAGATTGAGTGTTTGGACTCTGGTAGGATCCACAAATTCTTTGGTCAACCTCAATAACCAAACTGTCAACAGGCAAATGTCCCAACATGCATCTGGACTGCAGCACTCCTTCCAGGAACAAATTCACGAGGAAACAGATTTTGGGTTGGTAGATAAACCCCTGGTGGTTAAATTCCTCAGAGCTTATCAGAAAAGACACGTTTCAGTTGGAGGGAAATTAATGAAACCCGTGAGGATGTTATTCATGGAATGTTGAGGCAAATAAAGGAAATTTTGCAGCACTTTATACACTCTGAAACATCCATTTTAGAGTTTTTGACACATGGGTTTTGTGCAGATATATAAATACGAGTCTCTATTGACACTTTTCACCAAAAACATCAGGACTTGTTAAGCTTCAGCACCAGAAGAGGACTAAATGTGTTTCCTTTCATTTGTTTTTCATTTACAGTCACTATTGCAACACTACTGGAGCGCTTCTACCGTTTCAGCTAACCGTGACTCTAGCTTCACTCCACGTTTGAGGGCCACCTTCCAGCACGTATACACGACTGGTGGTGATAATGATGCATTCATTCCAGATGCACTTGTCTCATTTGAGGTCGCTCCCCTCATCTCTGTCAGACACATGCACAAACACACACTTAAAACACTCGACTTGGCCTTCTAGGCTTGCAAAGCTGAACACGTGCTCCAGACAAGAGCTGGCTGCAGCAGCTGCTGTTGCTGTAATCAGCAAGGAAAACGTTTCAAGTGCAGCAATCTATTGTTAAACCTTCAGATGGTTCTACTGTCAGACGGCACTTAAAATACAGTATGCTCTTAGCGCTGATGGTAATACATCATATACAGAAGAGGACAAAGCCAACAGGATGAGAAGGATTTACAGATACGAGGAGTTGGTTCAATGGTTTTTAAATAAAAATAAAGAAGTAAGAGGCCATTTAATAAAGAATAACAGCTTGTTAAAGAGGTTAATGCTCACTTAGTTATGAGTCATGATAATTTTACATTTTATGTTACTCTGTGTTTTTAATAAACCTTGTTTTTAATAAATCTTTTATGTTAATTGTTTATTTTATTTTAACATCAAGTCCATTAGAAATGCATTTTGACTGAAGAAAACCACAGAGCTGCCATGTGTTTATATGAACACTTTATTCCTAGATGACTTTCATCCTAAGCTTCCGTCTCTCCGTTGTGTTCCCTTTCACCCTGTCCTTCTATCTCTCCACCTCCTCTCCCTCTCCTCCTCCAAAGAGGGTGTGGGGGGAATTCTTTCCGTCCTTCTGCAGTCGTGTGCCATGATGTCATCGCTGTTGCGACAAGACGGACAGTAAGCAGATATACACAAATGCACCAGGCACCTGACCCCAGCTCACACACACACACACACACACACACGCACACACACACACACACACACACACACACACACACACACACACACACACACACACACACACACACACACACACACACACACACACACACACACACACACACACACACACACACACACACACACACACACACACACACAGGGCCTCTCTTCTTCCTAAAACCACTTATGGCCTCTCATTTTATCAGAAATAATCACGACTGGTCTTAGATCACTCACATATTTCTATACACACACACATGGTCATACGCCAAAGCTGCTATTCATGTTTTCTATGTTCCTGCTGGTGTGTGTGTGTGTGTGTGTGTGTGTGTGTGTGTGTGTGTGTGTCTACTGTGACACTAGCCAGTCCCTGTCTAAAACAAACATTGCTATTTTAGAAGTAATCCTCTCTCTGCTCTCTGTTTCCATCTGAAAAAACAACTCTGCTGTTTTCTGTGATTCTCTCTGCTCTGCTGACTTTGTAGGACGCCACTTTTACTCTTTAACCCAGAGGAACGTTTCTCAAGTAGGATGATCTAACTGAAGTGGCAAAAAGACATCAAACAAACATAAATGTGATCAAATGGGACAGGATTTACAAAGCTATGGCAGGGCCACTTTTAGGAAGATGAGGTAAATTCTAAAAACTGCTAGATGCCTTGTGAGGAGACAGAGGACGTCTTAAAGGAGTGGATTACTTGTTTAATTAATACATTTGCTGGTTATTAGTGGGAATGAATGCCTTGTAAGTCGTGCTCTAACGGCAAAAAACACCAGTGCACTATTTACACAAACTAGGAGTGAGCCACTTCACCGCTGAGCTTCAGACGGCAGTTTTTGGAGTCTTATGGGCTCGACACACGGGAGGCGACATCGCCTCTCCTCCATTCATTTTCAATGAGACATGCGCGACAAAGCGATAATCGCGGGTCTCCCTCCTACCAAGCGAAACGCAAAAAACGTGCGTGTGAAATTTTGCGACTCAGCGACGCGATCCCAGAAAGCTGAAATATTTTCAACTTTTCATCGCTGTCGCTCGGACGAGGACCAATCAACGGAGGTTTCATTCACTGACCAATGAGCGGACAGGATGCTCTGTACATCTCCGAGCAAACATGAAGGAGAAGTTGATTATTATTATGTTTTATATAGTAAAATCAGAAGTAAGATTTCACATAACTCTAGCAGCACCTTGTGAAACATCATATCTACCACTTTATTAACTCTGAACCGCTTAAATAACCTTAATTCCCTCCAACCTGACACAGCCAAACAAAACAACGGAAGTTTCGATTTCGCCATGGAACAGAACGCGTAGACGGCTTTGCCGCTGGCCGCTGCCGCGGGTCGCCTCCCGTCTGTCAGGTAATAAAAGCGACGGCGACAAATTTTGCTGATCGTGGTCGTTTGTCGCCTCCCGTGTGTCGAGCCCATTATTTCCTGATATTTGGACATCTCACATTGAATTGGATAACAGCAATGCAACTGTACAACTGACATCCAGTGTTATGTTTTAACTCCACAAATAACACAAGTTTGAAGGAGTTCTGCTGTGTGGTGGAGTTGCTAATGCTAACAGTTAGCTTCTAATTGACAAGATGTTATCTGCTGTTTCCTGAACATTAACACAACAGCAGCCTTCCCCGTGTAGTGAGTCAAGATGGGTGAGTCTGTGAATGTTAAAGATATTGGCCAGAGACAGAATTCCTTTGAACGGCATGTGTAAAGAAGTATTAAAACCTCAGATGAAAAAGGTTTTTGGATTTTCGCAGCTGGAATTTTAAGAAAATCTGATGTTTTTTTACCAGCGAGGGAAAAACAGAAACTAACTTCCAGTCTAAGCCCTGGGCAGCTGGTGACATTTCACAAGGCGCTCTGCTGAAACAGCGATAGTAAACAACCCCCGATTCTGGTGTTTCTGCGTTAGCGTTATAGCATAAAACAATGTGTCATCAGTCAGATGTAGCTTCTGAAGCCTCTGCTAGTCGGTCAGATTTGTTTTTTTTTCCTCTGGGATAAGGCGACAAGAACGGATATTGGATTACCGGAGGCGTTCAACCAAACTCCGTGCCCTGCAGCTGGATGTCAGAACCGGAGGTGCAGATATGCTTTGGACCGTTTCACTCAGAAAACCCGCAGCCCGATTAGGAAACCGGGGAGGATTCTGCTTGTATTTGGAACCAAAATCGGTAGTTTGTTAAATATTTCATATCTGTGCTCTACCGGTAGCTTTCAGTTAAGTTCTCAGCTGATTAGCTCCATCATATTGTTCCAATATAATTCAGTGGTCTACAGATGAGTAAAATAATGTGTTGCCAGCTTTACCACTGTGTGTATTTATTGATATAACATCGGAAAATATTTAACCGATTGCTTACCAGAATAAATCTTCCTGATGCTAACTTGCTAGCTCGGATCGTGGTTTTCTAATCCAGGATGACACGGAAGTTCTACCGGTCCTATAGGAGGATCTATTGTTGAAAAATGGGGATTATATCTGTGTGTGTGTGTGTGTGTGTGTGTGTGTGTGTGTGTGTGTGTGTGTGTGTGTGTGTGTGTGTGTGTGTGTGTGTGTGTGTGTGTGTGTGTTAGGGTTGTCACGGTGTGAAAATTTAACCTCACGGTTATTGTGACCAAAATTATCACAGTTTTCGGTATTATCGTGGTATTTTTTTTTAAACGTGTTAC